AGGAAATGGGTCTCTATCATAGGTTGGTGATGGTGAAGGAGATGCAAAGAATGTCATTTCTCAGAACAGCTGTTAGTTCAAGTGGGCCTGAGGAAGCAGCAGGCTGTGACATTGGGAAGTATTGTCACTCATGTGTGTGGCAGGCTGTGGGTCTGGAAAGTATTCTCACCCAATATGTGGCAGGCTGTGACTTTGGGAAGCATTGTCACCCATTTTTGTGGCAGACTGTGGCTCTGGGAAGCATTGTCACCCATGTTCGTGGCAAGCAGTGGCTCTGGGAAGTGTTGTCACTCAGGCAGGTGGCAGGCTATGCCGCTGGGAAGCACCGTCATCCACGTGCTGTGTTCAGCCCTGTGCCCCAAACCACCACAGTATTTTTTCAGAGGGATCCTAAATTCCAGCACAAACTGTATTTTGCAAGCTATTGAGCACTGTCTGTCATCCTATTCGTGCAGGTATTAAGGATCTGAGGGCATGTAAGACACAGGGGTGCCCCAGCTGATCCTAAGGACAGACCGTCGATCTGGCAGCACACAGAGGTCTGTGACCCTCGGCTCTCATCTCGGCGGTCCGGAGAATAAGGTCGCTCTGGCTGGGAACCGGGGAGCACGTAGCCGTGGATGAGATTTGAGCTTGCCATGGAGAATGGGTCAGACTTTTGTTTGCTTGTTTTTTAGACAGCCTCTTGTTCTGTCACCCAGGCTGGAGTACAGTGGCACGATCCTAGCTCACGGCAGTCTCAAACTCCTGGGCTCACGTGATCCTCCTGCCTCAGCCTACCCCCAAGTAGCTGGATGGCAGGCACGCACCCTCATGTCTGGCTACTTTTCATCATCTTTTTGTAGAGACGAGGCCTCACTATGTTGCCCAGGCTGGTCTCGAACCCCTGGCCTCAAGTGATCCCCTCACCTCAGTCTCCCAAAATGCTGGGATTACGGCTGGCCCAGGTCAGCTGTGAACCGGAGGAGGTGATGGGCAAGGGAGCTCAGGGACCAGCTTGGGAGAAGCCACAGAGGCAGGAAAGTCCACTTTCTGGGGGGGCGGGGGCAATGAATGAGTCTGAGTGGCCCACCTGGAGCTGCCCAGACCGGGGCCAGGACCCAGCAGAGGGCGTTGAACTCCATGGTGGGGGAATCGTGTCAGGTTTAAGGAAAGGACCCTGAAGACGCTCACAGAGACAAGGCCCTGGAATGTCTCCATGGATTCCGTTCCCTCATCTTCCACACTGAGTGAAGTCACTTCACGCCCCGGGCCGTCCTGCGCGTCTTCAGCGACTATTACTGAGACGCTGCTCTGACCCAACTGCCCTGTCTCTCTGGATTCACAGGCCCCACAGAATACACTCCACCCTCCCTCGTGGGGGTTTCGAGGCTCCCCTTACCTGGCTCTTGCCAACTCTCCAGACTCATCCCTCAGCTCGTTGCCCGGCTATCCCCCAGCCGAACCTTCTCGACACCCTTTCCCGCTGTCTCGGTCCACGGGCGCCCACCTCACCTGTGCGCTCCCCTGACCCACATTGCCTTTGCTGGCACCGTCCTACCAGCCTGGGAGCCTGCTCCCTCCACCATGCCCATCAGAAGACCAAAGACCCATCTTTCAGTCTCCAGCATTTTAAACTCTCCGAAGACGGAAGCCAAGTCTTGACTTTGACACCCGTCAGTGCCTTACGCTGGCAAGCCTCAGGCAGATGGTGAGCCAATCACTGACTTTCATGCCCTCTCACCCCTCATTCCTGCATGTAACCAAGAGTCACGTGCCGCTTGGGTCAAAAGGCTTTAAGGTTGAGAGCTTTAGGCTTTCCAAATGTTGTGGCATGGTGATCAAGACCTCTCATCTGGAGCTAGGTGGGTTCCAACCATTGCTCTGCCAGTTCCCTGCTGTGTGACCTTGGGCAAGTTACTTAACCTCTTCATGCCTCTGTTTTTTTCATCATTATTGAGGACAGAATAAAGGTCACCACCTCCTAAGAGTTACTCCTAAGAAGGAGTAAATACATTATTATTTGAAAAATGCTTAGCATAATGTCTAGCACACAGCGAGCATTATATAAACTAAATAGATACATAGTCTATATGTGTGCATATTTGTGTCGGTGCTTCTGTGTAAACTGTCTACGTAGATATACACATATACAGTAAGTACTCAAGAAGGTTTCAGTTAAGCCCACACACACACAGACACATGATTTGGCATCCGTGACAGCCTCATAAAGTGAGCTCTAGGCATTGACTGACTTCTCCACACCTAGTAACTGGTAGATCCATTCTTGGGATCCACATCTTCAAACCAGTAATCCACCGGTCCCATCCAACACGTAGGTAGTTGGCAGATAGGTAATGGTTTCTTAACACTAAGTATTGACATTTACCATAGGTCATGGTGTCAGATACATGATATGGGCCTATCACTAAGAAAAACAGATATAGACAGCATCTTGCCAAAGTTGTTGTACAGGATATCCCAGTCTCTAAAGATACCTGTGGTGTGGGCCGCCTGCTACTTGACTGTGTGTTTCCAGGAGTGGAGGAACCCTGGAGCCAGAGACATTGATCGAGTGTGTTGAACAAACTCATGCGTAAAGAAGAGAAGAAGTCACACAGGAAATGTGCCCAGGAGTACATTTCAGGGGAGATATACGTTGGGTTCCGCAAAGTGGTGTTTGCATTTGGCTGGTGGAGAAGCTATTATTTTCTTCATAGGGTGGATTCAGAATGCACCTGTAAAAACTAAATGCTTTCTCTTACTGCTCTGGGAAAAAAAACTGCCTGTTACTTTAAATCCAAAGCTCGCTTGACTGTCCACAGCTTGCATTTTAAATAATGCAGTTGTGCTGGCTTCCTTATCTGCAGCTAGAGTTCTCAGGAAAGCTCTAGGCATTCTTCTCTCCAGCCTGTAAAATTCATTCATTGTAACTGTTGACGTTTTAGTGAGTGGTGGAAACCCTAAGTCACACACTGGAAGACTGAACAAAGAAACTTGCTTTCTGGAAATTACCATTACATAGGAGGAGACTCGACTGAGCTGACCCACAGCGTGAGGACACAGCCTCAGCCTCTTGCTGGTGTCAGAGCTACTCCAGTTCCTCTAACCCAGGCTCCTGGACAAGACACACCTGCCAGCCGCCAGCAGGCAGTCCTGCCTCTTACCATGAGGCTGGGTTTGCACAAGTGACCTGTTGAGACCAGTCCCTGGCACCCAGGCAAAGGGAGAATCGGGCATCCAGGTCTTTTCTTTGTGGTATATTTAAAAGATATCTCTCTCTCTGCTACCCAGGGCTGGCTGGAAAGCCTTTTCTTCAGGGGGTGATGAGAGTTGTGTTTTTATTCCTTCCTTCCTGCCTCTTAGCAAGAATATGGACAGCTGAGCCGCTCTGTGTTGTGTGTGTGTGCACATGTGTGTGTTTTCACCCTCCCATTTGACAATGTAACTGGAGCTGGGATCCATAATGCACCAAGCAGAGAATGTGAACAGAGCTGGCCTAGGAGAGACCCAGGTGTGTTGCAGGCACACTGACCTCCTGTTGGTCCAGCTGCGGGTGACTCCCTTCTCTGGCCTCAGCTGTCCAGCTACTTCCTTGTGTTATTTTTCTTTTAAACTGTAGTAGCCAACAGACCTCCCCCACAGGTGCGATAATTCCCAAAAACAGTCAGCTTTCCAATGACATGCGTCTCAGAAAATGCTGCGACGCATTGTAGTGTGGCCCCCACTGTGCTCTCATTCAGTAAGGCCTTTGACATGATCTGCTGGCTGATGTTTTTCTGGAAAGACATCATCAGATGAGAATAAGTGACCAGGATCAGTGGCTCAGCCTGTCATCCCAGCACATTGGAAGGCCAAGGCGAGTGGATTGCCTGAGCCCGTGGGTTCGATACCAGTTGGGCAACTTGGCGAGACCACGTCTCTACAATAAATCAAGAAACTAGCCGGCATGGTAGCGCATGCTGTAGTTCCACCTACTTGGAAGGCTGAGGCAGAAGGATAGCCGGAGCCCAGCAGTTTGACGCTGGGGTGGCCGTGAGCATGCCACTGCAGTCCAGCCTGGGTGATGGAGTGAGACTCCAACTAAAAAAAAGGAAAAAAAAGAAAATAAGTAAAGGTTCTTCATTAACCTCATTTTACTCTTCAAAATCATCATCTTGAGAACACGTGTTAGGTTGAACCATAAGAGAGTGCCAATTTTCTGCCTTTTTTTAATAACCCCGAAACAGCAATTTCCTTTGGTTTAACCTAAATAAATATGTTTATTCCAGTGATGCTTCCTGGTCTCAAGCTATTTTAAACCCCATCTCTTGAGATGAGAAAAATCAAGTTCATTACTTGAAAACATTACGTTACTCTTAACTTCTTAACCACCCCGCCTTAGTTATAAAATTGGCTCTGAGTAACTTGTGGCTGTTGGCAGATGAAATGAAGTCTGTGCTCTCCGGATGAGAATTTGACATGATGCATGAGAAAGTGCCACCACTGGGGACTAAATTCTGGTGTGCTCTTTGATACATCAGTTGCACTGAAGTTAACACGCCATACCTGTGTTGTTTCTTTTAAAGAAACATAATTGCAGCCAGGTACGGTGGTTCATGCCTGTAATCCTAGACTTTGAGAGGCCAAGGCGGGAGGATCCCTTGAAGCCAGGAATTCAAGACCAACCTGGGCAACATACCAAGACCCCCGTCTCTGCAAAAAAAAAAAAAAATTATTTTTAATTAACCTGGCGCAGTGGGGTGCACCTATAGTCCTGGCTACTCAGGAGGTGGGAGGATTGCTTGATGGCAGAAGGTCAAGGCTGCAGTGAGCTATGAGTGCTCCCCTGCACTCCAGCCTGGGTGACGGAGGTGGGGGGGGGAGATGATCTCAAAAAGATAAGTAATGTAATTGAAATATCATGCTGAAAATACGCAGTTTTCAGAATTTGCCAAGATGTCTGACTCTGCTATAATAGCACATTGAAATTATATTGGAAAACTATGATTTCCAGAGTTCTAAGCCATGCGGCCCTTAAGCTGATGTTTTGAAGAATATTAATGGTGTACAAAAATTTCTAATATAAGTTTATCCAGGTAAAATCTCTGAAAATTGGTGACTATTATACTTCTGGTTCCAAGAACACAGAGATTATATAGAGAATAAAATAGATTTTATTATAAGAATAAATACTAAATACATTTATTGGTTAAGAAAATATTTATTAAGTATCTATGTTATTGGAAGTGCTTTCTGAGATAACTCTATAAATCAGTTTGTTTGTTTGTTTGTTTGAGTTAGAAGAGTGAAGAACTGGCAATATATTTCTAAGTCTCAAAATCAAGGATATCCTCTAATCCTGCAATTCTGTTTCTGGAAATTTATCATAGGAAGCATGACACGATTTTGTGCACATTTTTATAACAACAATTTTTTTCTTTTTTCTTTCTTTTTTTTTTTTTTTTTTTT